GAACTCTTTACCTTTATGTCCGTGCCAGTCCATCATCGGACGTTTTCAAGAAAAGAGCAAAGGTGTTTTATTTATCCACATAAAGTATTTTTCTTCTTGTAGTTATACAATTTAAAGTGTCATCTTCAGTGCAGAGACTAGCACTAAAAATAAAAATTAAAACTTCTTATCTTGTGAATATTTAATGTCATCCTTAGCATGGCATTAAATCCAAACTTCTAATAGATTAACTGTGGTAGGGCCACGCAACAACGCTATTGCACGATTGATCTGGTTCGTCTGGGTAAGTACCATGACCACGCAGAAGACCGGCATAAAGTGGAACTATTATACTTCTGTATACTATTATATTTATTAATTTAAAAACTTTTTGCACATAAAACTTACAATGGCGGACTTAACACCATTAGGTGTTCTGTACCAGTCAACCGACAAATAAGTAGAGCAGAGACAATAAGGTGTGAAAGGGCAATAAGCATGAAAAGTAGAGAAAAAATTAATTTATATATAAATATAAATAGTATACATACAGTACATTTACATATACATACATATAAAAACATAAACATATAATATTGTTAGAAGATAGGAGGGTAGTAGCACACTGCCGACGACCTATAAACGGAACAGCGCTCGCAGTGTCAAGAGACTTTCTCATCAGCCGTTGTAGAGTGCGGAAGCTCTACCCGAATTAATAACGATTGTGTCGGCTACTTAGAATTTTAGTGAAACTTCTGTTAAGTTTGGCCTACTGGCCAATAAGTTCTTTTTAAAAATCAATCATCGTTTCTATTTCCTAACATCAGAAGTGGGATTCGAAAACTTACGTGTCTTAAGTCCGTACATCCTGATATGAAGAGTTTTTGAGTTTTCAAACAATCTACGACGTATTTTTCCTTTGGGTGCCTACCCTCTTAAAACAAATGATTATCATCACTGGCGGAACAACAGCTTCCGGCTTCGACACAAAGAAGGCAGCCGAGTGGCTGTGCTTCCGCTGTGGCAGTCTGCGGCGCCTGTGGCAGCCGTCGGTGCCGAGGCCGCGACAGCGACAGAGTCTGCGGCGCCTCGCTGTGGCAGTCTGCAGCGACTGTGCTAGCCGTCGGTGCCGAGCCCGCGACCGTAGTCTACGACACCGATGCCCCGCCATCGAGCGCGTCCCAGTATGCGAGCGCGCTTCAAAGGCTAGCATGGCAGGCTGGCTTCAGTGGCCCCGTCTTCAAAGGAGCGTTCAGTGAGTGCCGCGGTGGAGCACTCCAGTGCGGCCGATCGCATTATCGATGCGATACGATCCATCAACATACCGGGTGAGATCTAACCAGACTTATTACATTTTGACGAGCTGATATCGGTAATAGCGAAACGGGGTATTACTGACCCGCAGATTCGCCCGTTGTGGTAGTGTTTGACGTTCAACGAAAATGCAAAATGAGTTCGTAGTTTCCTTTCTGTTTGTTTCATGATCGTATTAGGAAGATGCCTGAGCGTCAGAATGATGTTTGTTCTTTTTGAACAACATATACTCAGTGGTACATGGACTTGAGTAATCTGTTTTTAAGATGGGCTTTGGACTGAGTTAGACTTAGCGACTATTAGGTGCGAAGCAGCTAGCAAAATCAAAAATGTGGTTTCATATGAGAAGCGGAGGTTTGATCGAACAAAGGTCAAGTTCAATAGGTTTTGTCTTGTTGCTTTTGTGTATCATTGAAAGCCTGTGTATTTGGAAATTATACCCTACAAAAAAAAACATAGAGCCGTTTTTTTTGTAATTTCTCTATAGTGACTTCTATCTATTGAAATGTTTAACCGCTAATAGAGTACCCTAAAGTACGTACATAGAATCGCATATTGACGATTTTCTTAGTGGCGTAGCTTTATGAATATTCGGGAGATTCAAAGACAAAGGACGGCCGAGCGGCTGGCTGAAAATAAGGCTGAATTAGATCTGAGTGGGTTACCAAAGGCAGTTACCCTCGTGAGAATACAAGGAAGGTGACCTTGTATTTGTGCTTAATTATTGTGAGTAGTCTCGCTAGTCGAACATGGGCGTTGACTTAATGTCAAGTCGCTGGTTTATTTCGTTCGTAGTGAGTAGTCTCGCTAGTCGAACATGGGCGTTGACTTAATGTTGGCAACATTAAAATTATTTTTATGCATGGCAATTGTATACCATTCGAATCGCTGTATTAAACTCTCTCGCATAGACGTGTCATTAAAACTCTGTACACAAGAAAATAAATTTAAGTGTCTAAAAGTGGTTTAATTCAAGACCTACTCCACCAGCTTTACCGACAGGCAGGATTACTTCCACTACACTCAGGCAACCCCTGACATTGGTCCTTCGAAAAGAAAATTGATAGAACGCGCCAAGCGCCATCGCCCCAAGTCGGAAAGGCCAACACGGAGCTACATACCACAACGGACTACGAAGTGCGTGAGTGCAACAATATTACAGTAATCTTCGATCTACATTCCATCAGAGGTGACTGTGAACATTCACGAGACCTATCGTCTGTCTATTTCGCCGTGGACACCACTTTTTTCTGCAAGACGCCATTTTTTCCGTGTACCAAGCGCATTATAACATCGTGTCAGCATTAAAGAAACATTCGAGAGCAAATAATCTCCTGCAATAACAACCAGGACGCTTTAGTGGCTGCCAGGGGATATTTGAAGGCTTCACTGACTAGGCTGCAGGCAAAGTATATCGCCAAAGAAGAATATTCAACAGCGTCATGTTCTGAGCTTATGGCCAAAAGGGATCGCCTGATCTCGGCGTTCAAGGAATACGAGCGATATAACATTGATATTTTGAGTAAAAACCCAGATGATTCTGAAAATGTCGGCGACCAAGAAGATAAGTACATTTCAACATTGGCCAGATTGAACGATGAAATATCTTCTAGGAAGAGCAGCACTGGTGACGAAGAAGATATGCCTAGAAATCACACCCCCTTGGCACACACTAAGCTTCCAAGCGTGGAAATTGTAACATTTACCGGAAAGTATTGTGAGTACACAGAATTTATTAATATATTCAACTCTGTGATACATAACAACCCCAATTTAGATAAAGTACAACGTTTATACTATTTGCGAAATTTTGTAAGGGGTGAACCTCATGATCTTATAAAAAACTTACCTTTATGTGCTGAAAGCTACACAGAAGCTCTAAAAATATTAGCCGATAGGTACGCAAATAATACGCTCATAATGAATGATCATATCACACAATTAATTGATTTACCTAATGTTAAAAACACTTCATTATGTATTCGAGATTTTATATCACAAATAAAACAGCATATTGCTGCATTAAAAAACTTAAACTCGAATGTAACAGGTTGGGATCCAATTTTGTTGTGTATTCTTTTGCGAAAGATAGATTCTTATACAGCAAAGGATTTTCAGATGGACCGGGACATTCAGAAGTCCCCAACATTGGTAGAATTTATAGATTTTCTGCAAAAGAGAGCTTTGGCACTGGAAACCGTGGACGCCAATGGAAACCAACGGCATCCCTCTTCGAGCAACTCTGTCAGGGCAGTCGGTGTAAGGGCCTCGGTAAATGTGTCTACCTCTGCAGCACATTCTCATCCATGTCCATACTGTAAGTTATCTGGAAAAGATTCCCATCGATTATATTGTTGTCCAAAGTTTAAATTACAACCTGTTAAAGAAAGAATACAATTTGTAAACAAAAATAACATATGTAAAATATGCTTGAACCCACACTTAGGCCGGTGTAGGTACCACTTCAGGTGTAATACCTGCAAAAAAGCCCACAGTACCCTACTGCACAATAAATGTGACACAAATACAAACTATTCTGTTGAAAATGAGACCCCAGTGGTATTGATAGCACAAAATAATAAAAATAATCAAACTTTACTCCCCACAGCCAAGGTCAAGTTGATCCGAAGCGATGGTACTGAGGTACTCATCAAAGCCCTGCTTGATACAGGTTCCCAAGTCTCATTTGTCACTTCTCATGTAGTACAGGAGTTGGGGCTCATACCTAGAGAGAGCAACATTGACATTGTGGGGATTACTAATACCAATAATAAAATTAAATATAGTATTCCCCTCGAAGTCCACTCTCTTAATTCAGATTACAAACTAACAGTCAATTGTAGCGTGGTAGAACAAACAAATAACATGCAAATTGCCTCAGCAGAAGTTTCGACAATTTACCTTACCTGCTGACATAAAGTTAGCCGATGACAGTTATAATGATCCTAGTGATATAAACATGCTGATGGGATGTGATATATTTTTTCAGATCCTCCTGCCTGAAAAAAAGCTGCATACAGTGGATGCTGCTAGCTCCAACTCAGCTCCGTGTATTATCAACACGCAATTTGGTCATATATTAGGAGGCAATATACTGAACAAAATTCACACACCCTCACAACATGTGTCCCTATTATGCACTTCTTGTGACTCAAGCATCAGCAAAACAATTAAGCAATTTTGGCATACTGAACAGGTTCCTCAAATATTCAATGAAAATGCCACAGAGTCTGAACTTTGTGAAGACATATTTAAAAAATCTGTGCAATTAATTAATCAGCATTTTCAAGTAGATTTGCCAGTGAAGGTTCCTTTAGAGCAGGTAAATCAACATCTAGGTGATTCATTTAATCTAGCACTCCAGAGGTTTGTAAACTTGGAAAAAAAACTGCATAAAGATGAAACATTGTTTCAGCAATATAAAAAATTCATTGATGAAATTATTCAGTTAGGACATGGCCGTTATATAGACATTAGGCAGTATGACTTTAAAACTGACCCTATTTACTTTTTACCTCATCATGCGGTCATCAATGAGAACAGTAAATCAACAAAATTAAGGGTAGTGTTTGATGGTTCTATGAAAACTAAAAAAAAAAATATCCCTAAACAATATTCTACTTAATGGTGCTGTTGTACAGAAAGACTTATTTGAAATACTATTACTATTTCGCTTTGGTGATCATATTTTCACTACGGATATAAAGAAAATGTTTAGATGTGTTGCTATAAATCCAAAACATGCCTCATTACAGAACATCCTGTGGAGAGAGAATCCCAACACCGAGATCAGATGCATCCAGCTGACGACGGTCATCCTATGGTCTAAAAAGCTCCAGTTTCCTCGCTACACGGTGTCTGGATGAGTTGGCAACTGTCTACAAAGATGAGCTTCCTCTTGCTTCTTCCATTTTAAAAAACTCAACATTTGTTGATGATGTTCTATATGCAGACTCAGATTTAAATAATACATTAGAAGCAAAAAATCAATTGATTGAATTATTAAAAAGGGGTGGTTTTAAAACGCACAAGTGGGCATCTAACATTCCTCAAATTTTGCAGGATATTCCCAAACATGAACAACATTTTGATAACATTGATTTGGAAAAACAAAATTTTAATTTAAAAACCTTGGGCATTGACTATAATGTAAAGAATGACTGTTTTACAATGAGCTGTCCTGAAAAGTTTGGTGACAGACCAATAACAAAAAGAGAAATCCTCAGTTACATCTCAAAATTCTACGACCCCCCTGGGTTTATAGCACCAATAATAGTGACTGCTAAAAGCTTTATCCAGACACTGTGGGCTACTAAAATAGATTGGGATTCTCCCTTGACAGGTGATCTGAGGAACAAGTGGGTACAATTTTCTAAAAGTTTAGATATTATGACACCAATTACATTGCAAAGAGTAGTTCCTACTGCATGTGCACGGTCTCTCGAGCTTGTGGGTTTTGCTGATGCTTCGAGTTCAATAGCTTATGGCTGCTGTATATACCTGCGAGTTAAACAAGAAGGTAAAGCAAGCTTATACTTACTTTGCTCCAAGTCTCGTGTTAATCCACTTAATAAGCCACTAACTGTGCCCCGATTAGAACTGAATGCAGCACTTCTGCTTGCAAAGCTAATGGTGAAAGTTCACAAAGCCATAAGCACAAAGATAAGCTTGCAAAATATATATTTATTTTCTGACTCTAAAATAGTCCTTGCATGGATCGGGACTCAGGTGACGCAGCTGAATGCTTATGTAGCTAACAGAATCCAAGTTGTGGCGCAGTTAACTGCCGGTTGGACTTGGCACTACGTCAGTACGAGCGACAACCCTGCGGATCTCATCACGCGCGGCGTGAGTCCCCAGGAGCTTGCAGACAACATGCTCTGGTGGACAGGGCCCTTATTCCTGCAAAACGATAAGTATGAATACTATAATAACCCTGATCTACCTACTTGCTTACCGGAAATGAAAGTTTCACTGGTAGACTCCAGGCTTTCCAGTTCCATTGTGCTTCCAGCAGTGCATAATACAATTGATATCTTTGAAAGGTATTCTAATATACATAAAATGACTAGAGTATTAGCATATGTATGGCGGTTTTATTACAATTCTAAAATAAAAGATAATAATCAAAGGATAAAAACTAGTTTTTTAACAAGCAAAGAAATAAATAACTCTTTATTATCGATAATAAAACGTGAACAATATAAATACTTTTCAAAAGAAATTAACTCATTAAAAAATAATGTAAACATAAATAATAGTGTGTTAAAAGCTTTGCACCCTTTTCTAGACAAAAGTGAAATGATGAGAGTGGGTGGGCGTCTACACAACTCTTCACTTTTGTATACACAAAAACATCCTATTATTCTTCCAAAAGAATCACGCATAACTGATATGATCATTCAAAGTGAGCACATAAGGCTTATGCATGCAGGTCCTAAATTATTGCTATCTGTATTAAATGAAAGGTATTGGTTAATTAATGGTCTTAGACATATAAAAAAAATAACATACAAATGTGTAACATGTTTCAGGTTAAAGGCTGAATCATCGAAGCAGTTAATGGGTTCCTTGCCGACACAAAGAGTTACACAAGCACATCCATTTGATAAAGTCGGTATTGACTATGCTGGGCCAATAGATATAAAGCAATCCAGGATAAGAAGGTCTATCATCTCAAAGGGTTATATTTGTCTTTTTGTATGCTTCACAACTAAAGCCATTCACATAGAATTAGCCTCAGACTTAACGACCGCAACATTTCTTTCCTGCTTCAAACGCTTTACCGCGCGTAGAGGACTACCGCATGAAGTGTTTTGTGATAACGCAAGTAATTTCAAAGGCGCAAGGAACCGATTGACTGATTTATATAATTTGGTCAGCTCTCAGAGTCACAAATCACAGGTCAATAATTATGCTTTACAAAATAATATTCGCTTTCACTTTATACCTAGTTACTCACCTGTGTTTGGGGGGCTCTGGGAAGCTGGAGTAAAAAGTACTAAATATCACCTGAAACGTGCGTTAGGAAATAATGTATTTACATTTGAGGAGATGTATACTGTTCTTACGCAAATAGAAGCAATATTAAACTCAAGGCCCCTAGTGCCTCTATCATCAAATATCGACGACTTCACTTACCTTACTCCAGGTCATTTTCTAGCTGGCAGGTCTATAGTATCATATCCTGAACATGACCTTTCTGATATTTCAATATCTAGACTTAGGCTGTGGAATGCCACAAACAAAATTGTGCAGACTTTCTGGCATACATGGCATAAGCATTATTTGAACAATTTACAGTCAAGACCTAAATGGAGGGCTGAAGTGTCAAATGTAAAGATAGGTGATCTTGTTTTACTCCGAGATGATGGTGTACCTCCCCTCATGTGGCCTATGGGTCGTATAACAAAAGTATTTCCTGGGAAGGATAATAAGATTAGGGCCTTTGAGGTAATGAATTCAAATAAAAAAACACATGTAAGGTCGATAACAAAAGTTTGTTTATTTCCTATTAATAATAATGATAATTGACCATATGTTCGTAGGCCATCTTAGGATGTGTAATTTTGTTGCGATGCCAAGAACACAAGTTCTCATATTTAAGTTTAAGTTTATTACTATGTTAAAATGTAATATTTTCAATGTTTTGGGGTGTCTGAGTTTGTTTGCTTTGGGATAACACTTTTCTTTATAATTTAAGATTGTTTTCTTTTCAAAATGTAAAAAGTTTTTAGATGTTTAAATAAGATTTTGGTGTATAAATTCCATAACTATTGTACTTTCTCGTGGCCCCCAATATGTTGGCAACATTAAAATTATTTTTATGCATGGCAATTGTATACCATTCGAATCGCTGTATTAAACTCTCTCGCATAGACGTGTCATTAAAACTCTGTACACAAGAAAATAAATTTAAGTGTCTAAAAGTGGTTTAATTCAAGACCTACTCCACCAGCTTTACCGACAGGCAGGATTACTTCCACTACACTCAGGCAACCCCTGACACTTAATGTCAAGTCGCTGGTTTATTTGTTCGTAGTGAGTAGTCTCGCTAGTCGAACATGGGCGTTGACTTAATGTCAAGTCGCTGGTTTATTTTGTTCGTATTGAGTAGTCTCGCTAGTCGAACATTGGCGTTGACTTAATGTCAAGTCACTGGTTTATTTTGTTCGTAGTGAGTAGTCTCGCTAGTCGAACATGAGCGTTGACGTAATGTCCAGTCGCTGGTTTATTTTGTTCGTAGTGAGTAGTCTCGCTAGTCGAACATGGGCGTTGACTTAATGTCAAGTCGCTGGTTTATTTTGTTCGTATTGAGTAGTCTCGCTAGTCGAACATAGGCGTTGACTTAATGTCAAGTCACTGGTTTATTTTGTTCGTAGTGAGTAGTCTCGCTAGTCGAACATGAGCGTTGACGTAATGTCCAGTCGCTGGTTTATTTTGTTCGTAGTGAGTAGTCTCGCTAGTCGAACATGGGCGTTGACTTAATGTCAAGTCGCTGGTTTATTTTGTTCGTAGTGAGTGATCTCGCTAGTCGAACACAGGCATTGATATGCTGTCAAGCCGCCTTTTATTAACGAATACGTTAACACGAGCGTTCAAGTAATTCTAGCGTTATGTAAAGTCATTGGAGCCAGTCTGGCGCTGTGCTAAGTCATATTGGCGTTAGCTTGTTAGTCATGTGTATATGTGCAATATCCACTCGTACATTATGTTGACAGTTACATGTGTTAGCAATTGCTAAAGTCACCATACAAACTGTAGCGTTCAACTCGCTAGTCAGATATTTGGAAAGAGGTATTATCGTCGATAAAATGCCTCAAGCCCCCGTTGATAACGCCCGCTTGGTTCCAGACAATGCTGAATACCCCTCTGAGCCTACTCATCAACACCAGCAGTGGACGCAGCAACTGCTCCGCTGTGTACAGACAACGCTGAAGACTCCGTCGACTCACGACCAACGCGTGGGCACTTCAGGATCGAGGACGACCAGTCGTCAGGAGAAGCCGTGTTAGAAGATAGGAGGGTAGTAGCACACTTTGACGACCTATAAACGGAGCAGCGCTCGCAGTGTCAAGAGACTTTCTCATCAGCCGTTGTAGAGTGCGGAAGCTCTACCCGAATTAATAACGATTGTGTCGGCTACTTAGAATTTTAGTGAAACTTCTGTTAAGTTTGGCCTACTGGCCAATAAGTTCTTTTTAAAAAATCAATCTTCGTTTCTATTTCCTAACAATATTATTATTAAAAAAACATATAATATAATAGTATTAAATAATTAAGTGTAAAGTTCAATTAACTCAATTTTCAATTCTGTGGATGATCTAGATAAAATTTGAAGACGGCACGTTTAAAAGCCTCTTTAGTAGAACACTTTTTGATAGGTATGTGTAGCGAGTTCCAGAGCCATACAGCTTGACCTTGGAAAGAGTTTTCTCTGGTGAGTGTGGTAATAGGGGCCCAAATTAATAAAATATGGCAACGCATCTGCAAACCTACGGGTTTTGCACATGTCAATGAGTGGCGGTTATCGCTTCACAGCAGGTCAACCGCCATCTCGTTTGCCATCTTCTCAAAAAAAAGATATTCATCTTTAAAATATGTAGAAAAAATGCGAAAAGATTGTCGCCGCTGTGGGAATCGAACCCACGTCTTCGGCATTCGCGGCCTGACGCTCTAGCCACTGAGCTAAACGGCTGATGACCACACCGACGAAAATCTTAACGCATTCCTCTACATTGTTTTCTTAGCATTTGAAGCAATGCTTGGCGCCATCTATTGTTATATCCTTTCCAGCATACAAACAATTTCGAATATCGTTTTACAACGATAATTCGAACGAGAGATGTCGCCATTGCTTTTTTAGAAATTTAAATTGTTTATAGTGCTAAATTCGAAATTGTTTGTATGCTGGAAAGGATATAACAATAGATGGCGCCAAGCATTGCTTCAAATGCTAAGAAAACAATGTAGAGGAATGCGTTAAGATTTTCGTCGGTGTGGTCATCAGCCGTTTAGCTCAGTGGCTAGAGCGTCAGGCCGCGAATGCCGAAGACGTGGGTTCGATTCCCACAGCGGCGACAATCTTTTCGCACTTTTTCTACATATTTTAATGTTCAATCTTAAGTGCAAAGATTAGCACTATAAATTTTTTAAATTTCTAAAAAAACAATGGCGACATCTCTCGTTCGATTATCGTTGCTAAAACGATTCGAAATTGTTTGTATGCTGGAAAGGATATAAACAATAGATGGCGCCAAGCATTGCTTCAAATGCTAAGAAAACAATGTAGAGGAATGCGTTAAGATTTTCGTCGGTGTGGTCATCAGCCGTTTAGCTCAGTGGCTAGAGCGTCAGGCCGCGAATGCCGAAGACGTGGGTTCGATTCCCACAGCGGCGACAATCTTTTCGCACTTTTTCTACATATTTTAATGTTCAATCTTAAGTGCAAAGATTAGCACTATAAATAATTTAAATTTCTAAAAAAACAATGGCGACATCTCTCGTTCGAATTATCGTTGTAAAACGATATTCGAAATTGTTTGTATGCTGGAAAGGATATAACAATAGATGGCGCCAAGCATGCTTCAAATGCTAAGAAAACAATGTAGAGGAATGCGTTAAGATTTTCGTCGGTGTGGTCATCAGCCGTTTAGCTCAGTGGCTAGAGCGTCAGGCCGCGAATGCCGAAGACGTGGGTTCGATTCCCACAGCGGCGACAATCTTTTCGCACTTTTGCTACATATTTTAATGTTCAATCTTAAGTGCAAAGATTAGCACTATAAACAATTTAAAAGATATTCATCTCCCGAATCATTACTAGCCCTCAGAAACGGTGGCCTCATAAATTATATTACACAAGCTCTCTATGTCCTTACGGGGCGTATACTCTCTGTCACACGTTAATAGCGAAGCAGGGACGGCGTGTGTAGATATCTTACTTTTCTAATGTGTTCATGCATAATGTAATAGACCACCCTGTGAGATTCCTAGACATCTTACTAGGCGAGTTTTTGACCCTGTTTATTTGATTTAGCGAGGGATTTGCCGTCACCAGCAAAATCATACGATAAACCCGCATAATGTATATGGAAACGAATTCAACGTATATCATAAAAACTCGGTACTTCGTAAAAAAATTGTAATAGTTGTTGTATAATAATAAGAAACTGGACAATCATTTTGAAAACTGTATAGAAAGAAACTATTTCCAAGCTGCATTTACTAAGATTGCTAAATAGATTGTGTTTTATGTTCGCATTCTAACGTGGTTAAAAATTTGCTGTGCCCAAACTAAGCGTTTCATTAATTCATATCTTAGCACAAGATATCGTCGTAGGGGAGTCAGCAGTTGTATGGAATTAACTCGCTTGTTATGCAAAACACGCAGAGCCTCGTTGTATGGCTGCCAAGGAAGTGAATAGAACATAACGACCCTCGGACAACTTTATAGGACACGCCGTCTTGCCAAATTTGCATGACGTTATCTCTGCAGTTAATTTAGTTTAAAAGTTGTTGTGTTCGCACACTCAAGGCTCTCTCATCTCAACGCCTCTTCCCTCATATAATTTATCGAAAATTTTAATGTTAAAGTATGGTAAGGCCCCTCTATAGCCTTAGGTACTGCTCGAATGGACAGGTTCATCCGTCGGCTACAAAGAAGATCGGCATGAAGTGGAACAATAACTTACATTTCGTTGTATGTGAGGAAACCGGCGCCCACTTTTTGGTTGGCAAAGCGTCTGTAGTAATTTAACATCAGATGAACTGCCTGCAAGACTGGAGAAGGACAGCTAAGCTTCGAGACAATTGGAGGCATATTGTAGAGGAGGCCAAAACCCACAAAGGGTTGTAGCGCCAAGGGAAGAAGAAAAAGAAGAACTGCCTGCACGATTCTCAACTTTTCAGATAATCGTTGTTATCAACATGCAAACAGCTACGCATTTCCGAGGATAATCACTACATAGTATAAAAAGTCATCCCGCTATCTGTCTATCCCTATATATATTTAGATCTATAAAACTACGCAACGGATCTTGATGCGCTTTATGCACTAGATACAGTGATTCAATAGGAAGGTTCCTATGTATAATAGATTGCACCCGTGCAAGCCAGGGTGGGTCGCTAGTGTTGTATAATTTCCGCATAAATAGTCTTAGCAAACATCAAGTGTCACACATCTAGCCATTGTTATATTTATGTTATCAAATATTTTGTGTAATTATAATGTAAATATAATTTATTAATTAAAAAAGCTTTTGTTATCGGTTTTGTAGTTAGTTAACACCCATTACAGAAAAACAAGTTTCAA